ACCGATTTGGTACTAGGACAGCAGTGATTCCTGCTATTGGTTTACTATTAGGTAAGCTTCTGGATAAAAGCGTCGAACTTCTTCACGGCTTAGGAGACTATGCTGAGTGAAAACTCTCCGCTGTAAATCGCAGACCGACACCCTGTAACGCCACCTGAACACCTTGAAGTGGAAAACCATTGTGGGCATTGTTTAGTTGCAGAAATTATTGATTTAACATTTATTATTCCTCGCAACTCGTTTTCGGCTTTCCAAAGCTCTGTCTTTAAAAAGTTTCCTCGGATTTTATTTACACTTACCCGAAGTTTGGCGCCAACTCTTCTCTGAATATTTCTCGATTGCTAAATTCCACTGAGCTTTATTATTTTTCAAATATTAGACTCCGCTGTAGTTAGGCTTTTTTGGATCTATCTCATAATGACCTTCAAGTCGAACAGTATTTATATCGCTTTAGTTGTTGGTGGCCTAGTTTATTACGAATTATGTAACCTTTCCATTGGATAGTTCATCATTAGGGTAATTCGTTTAAGACCATTATGAATTCAAAAAATGCCAACTATGCGATGAAATTGCAAAGACGGTGAAAACGTTGACGACTGATGTGTTTCATATACATTTTATTCAACGAAAGTTTGTTTTAACCGGGATTTTATTTAGCCGGATGATTTCCACGGTGAACCATCGGAGTTTCTGCCACCGGTTGATGCCGAATACGTGTACGTCATCCATAATTGTATTTGTAAGCAAATATGATTCTTTTGGTTTATTCTCTTTCAGGTTGGTCCAATGGCCATCACGCTTAAACGGTCCTCGCAGCACAAAATTCGATTCTAAAATGAGAAACTCAGGTGAAAACATTACAGTCATAGGAAAAACCGAGGCGACAACAACAATGACAACAACAACAGCAACTGCTACTACTACTGTAGCAGTAGCGGCAACAACAGCAACAACAACAGCGACTACTTCTAAACCGGTAAGTTTATGCATGAAACTCACTATAGAAACTCTTATTCTTTTTTGTTTATAGGGAACAATGAGCTCAACAGATGTCACGTCACCATCGACTCTCGTTTATCCAACNTAAAAGCGTCGAACTTCTTCACGGCTTAGGAGACTATGCTGAGTGAAAACCCTCCGCTGTAAATCGCAGACCGACACCCTGTAACGCCACCTGAACACCTTGAAGTGGAAAACCATTGTGGGCATTGTTTAGTTGCAGAAATTATTGATTTAACATTTATTATTCCTCGCAACTCGTTTTCGGCTTTCCAAAGCTCTGTCTTTAAAAAGTTTCCTCGGATTTTATTTACACTTACCCGAAGTTTGGCGCCAACTCTTCTCTGAATATTTCTCGATTGCTAAATTCCACTGAGCTTTATTATTTTTCAAATATTAGACTCCGCTGTAGTTAGGCTTTTTTGGATCTATCTCATAATGACCTTCAAGTCGAACAGTATTTATATCGCTTTAGTTGTTGGTGGCCTAGTTTATTACGAATTATGTAACCTTTCCATTGGATAGTTCATCATTAGGGTAATTCGTTTAAGACCATTATGAATTCAAAAAATGCCAACTATGCGATGAAATTGCAAAGACGGTGAAAACGTTGACGATCTTTCATCGTCGACGATCTCGTCTTTCATCGACGATCGTTGACGATGACGATTTTCATCCTCATTTCCATTTCCAACTCCAAATTTTTCCTGCTTTATATTCATTTTCGTTGGCCTTTCATTGAATGGACTGGTGGAGGATTTATTGCCCGGAGAACAACAAATTTTTCGCTACGAATAATAGGTTAGTCAGCAACTTTCCTGTATAGTAGAGCACTGCTTAGTGAATTACTTCATTCTGGTACTTTTTAACTGGAGTAGACTAGATGCTATCACGAAGACCCACATCGGAAGAAGGAAGGACTGTGTGCAATTGGTTCAGATCAGTTAGGTTCTGAAGAAGATGAAGACGGCTAAACGTTAGCGGAATAAAGTTTTTCAGCTAACTCGTGTTTACTTATCAATGAAAGAAGTATTGATTAATTATGCCAAAGTTGGAAGGAAACTAGGTTTTGAAATATTCTTACTCTTAAAGGCAATTGTTTTGCAGTGAACAACTTTTTCAGAAAACTTATATGGAGGTATCTGTAGCAGGCAGCAGAAGTCAGCGTGGATACTCTGCGCATTCATCAATTTGAGGAGTATATCATCAGAAAAATGCGTATTTTTATCTCCATGCTCTATCTACGTAACATTTTTCTGATGTTGTTAAATAATTCATAAACAGTTACTTGGCGATTTACAACTTCTACTACTATCAATTTTACAATATTTTACAAAATGAAGGACCATTTTTCATATAATTAATGCTTACGTATAATAAACGCTTCTTACATAGAATTCGTAGTGCTTAGCTACCGTAAGATACCATATATATTTCTGGTATAGAGTTCATAATCAATGTCAGCAATCCCTGCTGACATGGCATTTATATCGTATCCTACAATCATATGCAATGTACAACCTATAATATCAACACAGCGTCTCAATTTTCTTTACACTGGTGGAGTGTTTTCAGTAGAAGGAATAGTGAATGGCAGAGGAAACTACTCAATCATAGGTACTCAGACAATTTTTTTATTTGGAAGATTAGTTTTCCGTACGCGGTAGCAGCAGATTCTCCAGGCGTTCACCAAACACGTCTACATAACCAAGTATAAGAATAGCTGTGCAAACCTAAACTGTAGGTAAAATTAGATGTGCAAAAACATTCGCGTGCTTTCTTAAGATATGAAGAATGAGTCACCACTTGGTCGCAACTGTCGAAATGCGGTAACTTGTGAAATTTTCGTCAGGAAGCTCAGCCGATTTTAAACCAATATCAGGATCCGTCACCGTCCTGGTAGGAAACTAGTCGCATGGCGGCGCGGCAAATCTTCCTCTGATCCACAAAGGCTGCGACTACCTGAGGCAGACTTTAGCTCGGCTGACTTCGGGACTTCAGAGAACCACAATGGTTAAACCAACAAGACTCCGAAAAAAATAAAGATGCTGGGCCCGAACTACCAGTGAGAACAGGTCATCTAAGTATCCACATAAGTAATCCACGTGATAATTCGGCCAAAAGCCTGCAATTTAGAGACATAGAAGTATATAGGAAGCGTAACCTTTTTTATTTACGGCCTATTTTTTTTAACGGCAGGGTGTGTTACGAAATATAACTTGTATAATGCTGAAATATTTGCAAAACTCTGGACCGCAGGTGTCTGCGGTGGGGAGCGAACACGCTGTTGTTCTTTCCGGGGAGTAACGCGTTCACCACCACACCATGCGGGTCCTTCATTTCGCCTGTCTCTCAGCTAGTTCTATCGATCCTTTGCCATCAGCATTCACCTGGAGTTTTGCAAATATCTCAGCATTATATAAGTTATATTTCGCAAAATACCCTGCCGTTAAAAAAGAATAGGCAGCAAATAAAAAGGGTTAAGATTGTGATTATAACTAGAGCCTCAGCTTAACTGGGTTCATTGCCGATTTGGGCTCAGATCAATCCCGTTGACGGGTGATTGCTGTTGGCAAAGATCGATAGAACAAGCTGAGAGACAGGCTAAACGAAGGACCCGCATGGTGTGGTGGTGAATGCGTTACGTCCCGGAAAGGACAACAGCGTGTTCGTTCTCCATCGCAAACACCTGCGGTCCGGAGTTTTGTAAATATCTCAGCATGATACAAGTTATATAGGAAGAGTTTAGGAGTCGCCTCCAACGTAAAGGTACGCTCATCCGCAGCGATCAGAGACAAACAAGCTATACGTGGGTGTTAAAAGCTAAACACAGTCCAACATCGAGAAGACGAGCAGCGGTAGACCACCGACTCGGATTATGGGCATTGATGAAGATGAAGATGTCGAAACGTTAACCGAAATAAATATCTTTATCAACCTCGCGTGAACTCATTAATTTTAAAACATGCTAAACACAGTAAAATAAACGGACCTCATTCCCCAGACCTCTAATGAGCTCCCGATTCGGCAGCGCTGGGTAGGACGAGTACAGAGAGGCTGCTAAAATCTCAGGGCCATTCTGAATTACCTAAACCGTAAAGGACTAAGGTGATAATCTCTACCTACTACAGTACATGCACACTTGCATCTGAGTACTCGATAGAAGTTGATCATGGAAACAGGAAGGATAAGATACGACGTATTTGGACTGGCCGAGAAGAGAAGAGAGACGCCACCAATTCAACGGCGTCGCCGTTACCATAGAAGAACTGTTCCTTGAAATATGCAATAATGGAGGTATCGGCTGCACGGGTGTTCACGTCGACACCAGTTTGGCCTTGAGGAATTCTTTCGAATAGCTATCAACCCAGATCGAAGTTTACCGTTGAAGAGATTTGGATCAATAGCGGCTTTGACAGCCTTCGTCGTGTATGCACCGACATCAATCTGTGGAGGAGACGAAGTTGAAAAGTGCAGAAATATGGAGATTTGTACCTGAAGAATTTTTACAGAAAAGATTGTACATTCTTTAAGGTCTTCACTGAAAATTTCAACGTTAAGATTGGACCCTGAAGAACGTTTGTAGAGCACCACAATGGGAATTACGGATTACAACGGAACGAGCAAGTGGGCAACTGAGTTTGTCATTACGACCAGGACGATTTGTTGTAAATCATAGCTTCAGAAGCCCTCTGTCAACGCTGGACATGCCAAACTCCCGGTGGAGAGTGACATGATGAAACAGATCATATCACAGTGAACTGCAGTTTTGGCTAGTCAACTTTGGCGTTATCTCAATGTTTTACATGGTATCGAACCAATTTCACAAGAACAAATATGTTAGAACATGAGTTGATAACATGCAGTCTACGTGGAATCGATAAATAGCTCTGGCAAAGCTGACATAGCTCTATTCTTATTTTGCGTAGTTATTGCTTAATATCGTTAGTAAGCTTTTAAAATAAAACTAAACGCTCTTGTATGTAGGTTTTCGGAGAGAATATTAGTTTTTGTTCCAAATCTATCGCATAAATCCCAATGACACCTTGTCCGCTGATCTGTTGTTTTTTAACTTACTATTTTTAATTTGTTATTGGAATGAGAATTTATTGCAACTCTTCTGAATCAATGTTCCTTAGTTTTTTCTTCTAAAGTTTTTTGTTGTCGCTTTTTTTCGACGCTTACAATTCCAATTTGAATTTTCATGAATCGCGTCTCGTGTCTCGATTGTCGATGGCGAAACCTGACGAAAGTTCTACAGTAGGCGTCAGCCGTCGTGCTATTCACAAATGGGTAATGAATGCATTTGTAGTTTCCTTTTTAGTGCATTTGTTTATTTCTATGTTTTGATGGAACTTTTAGATAGAACCTGACTTGATAGCAAGGCTACTGCAGAGGAATGCCTGCTCAGAAGCAATACCACGGGACGAGTGTGTGCTCGTTCTCAATGAGGTTATGAAAATGGGGCAAGGACATCGTCATGTCCTTTTGAATGGTGCCAGTTTTGTTTCTTATCTCATATCACATTTACACATATATATGTGCTTTTATTTATATTATATTTATACGTATATTTCTAAAAATGTGATCTAGAAAGCTGTGTTTCAACGTTTGAGCTGTAATATTTATAGGAACTCACCATGTAGTCTTGTTCAGTGAAGGATATCAAAACATCATTACTGGTGTGCTATCATCCACCGACCACATTCGTGTTATTTTGAAAATCTTTCGGTATTCTGCATATTTGAATACTGTAGCCATAATGGGAATTAAACCACGTTCCATTTCCAGCGAGCAAGACTTCATTACGGCAGAAGAAAGAAGAGATTTCAGTCTCATTACGGTCAAAAGATATCAAGGAAAGCATTATTGCATTTTATTATACAGTATTTAATTTCGTTTCGAAACAACAATTGCAGAATTGGTTGCGAGGGTAGCGACGCGTAAAACGTTGGTGTGGATCAGCACAATAGAAAGGCAACTACATTAACAGACCCTAACTTCTTCTTCGAGCTTTTTTGTCTTTTTTCTCTTTCTCTGTCCTAGTTTACTTGTATAAATCTCCTTGGCGTTTGATTTCTTTTCAAATTTTCTTTTAGTCTTCTTGAAGCCATTAAGAAGCTATCCACCCATCGAGTTCATCGTCTTCCTGTGATTGATCCAATTTCATTTGACCCTCTGGGAATTCTCACACTTAAGCACATTCTGAAGTTTCTATGGTATCACGTAAGTTCACGGTTGTTGTCAATGCAAAACAACCATTTAAAAGAAATATGTTGCTATTAAAATCGCAATTCGATTTTTGTTCTACAATCAGTATCACTAAGTTTTAGGGGAGAGATTTCTTTCAACCATCACATTTTATCAGAACTCCAAAACAACTAAATGTTGGAACGTGGGAAAGGCTTCATGTCGTGCGTCATTTCGTCCTTTATATTATTTAAAACAATTCGGTCATGTTACAACTTTTAAGGTTTACCGTGATACTCCATTGATTGATTGTTTGGATATTCTTCTTAGTGCGGGTGTTTCCTCAGTGCCAGTTGTTGAACATCATACTCTCAGGTAATTGTGCTGGACTTCAACAGTTCAACCATTCATTTTGGAATACATACCTTTAGAAGCATGTTCCATTCATTCAGAGTTGTTGACGTGTACTGTCGTTTTGACGCAATGAATGTTCCCTTCCAAAAAGAAGGCTTTGACCCTGCAGTAGACGTAAGCGAAGCGCTCAAGTATAGACCAGTTTATACGGTAGGTTATTACTCATTCATTTTCGAACATATCAGCACCCATTGTCTTCAAAGACATGTGTTGATATATATTAACGTCTGTGCAAACTGTTATAAGCAAAACCGAGCTTTTCAGTTCCAATTTTTGGAACACTTGAGACGTTAGATGGAATAGATGATTTACTCTATGCTCAATTCTTGTAAAATGTTGAAGTTACGTAGTGTGCCATACATCCACAAAATAATGCACGGATATTTGGATGGCTCGCCCTTACAGGTGGTGGTGTCTCAACAAAATTTCCATTTTTTCGGAGTTTTGCCGGTTTAGCCGTTATGGTTCCCTACAGTCCCGAGGTCGGCCTAACCGAAGTCTGCCCCAGGTCGTCACGACGACAGCCATTCCCACGTTTTGTGGATCAGAGGGAGATTTTCCACAATGTGACTAGTTTGATACCAGAACGGTAGTGGATTCTGGTATTGATTTAGTCTTATCTGGGCTTTTTAATGGAAACGTCGGACTCTTTCTAAGCTTGGGAGGCCCTGCCGTGGTGATGAATCTCCTGCGGTATATTGCAGCTAGACGTCCAGAAACACCTCCCAGCCACGCTGAGGCGGTAAACCGCTAGGAGGCGTTCTGACAATAAGAGATTAGAGTAGTATATATTACGTAACTATTGTCAATTTTCAATTATATCATATCGTAGAAAAACTTAAAATATCGAATTATCATTCAAGACATTAACGGAAGAATGTGTTGATTTGAATGCTTATGATACGAGAATGACGGCCACTTTCAACTTGAAGTTGAGATATCTCGCCTGTGCTTTTTGAAATAAAGATCAATAGGTCTTTTACTACCAATAGAATTAAAATGATGTCCTCATTATATATAAGGGCGCATGCGGCACAGTGGTCAGACACGCAGACACGAGTTTTGCCTTTCCTAATCTGGGGTTGAATTTTCCAACAAAGTGTTTATAGGAGTATTCATTGTGGATGAGATTGTGCGCGTGTGGCGTAGTGGTCGGATGCGCCCTGCAACACGCGTGGAATCGATCCTAACGCCCATGGCCCACCAAGCCTTCCATCCCTCTGCGGTCGGTAAATTGGTACCAGACTTGTCTGGGAGGATAGCAGCACTTGTTTGATACATCGGTATGCCACCGCAAATCATTGTAAGGGCCAGTTGTGCATTCAATCACCTCCAAAGGATGCCTAATGAAGTCGATGCATGGCGCATCCATCAGGTATTGATCAACGGCGAAAGCTTTATCCTTTATCCTTCTTTAACATATAATGCGATGGTGCACCATATAACCACATTGCTGCCAGCATTTGAAAGTGTTTTACACATTGCTGGCCACAAAGTGCAAATTTCAGGTGAAGAATTGCATGTATGTAAGGACTGCAACTTTTAGGCTAAAATTACTAATTCAGTGTAAAATACGTAAGGTTTTTGCATAAATGAAGCACAAGTTGTAGGTTGCAAGATTGTAATAAGATTCGACGACTGTTTCTGTGAGTATCGAGCCACCCCGAAGGATCCTCTTGTTGATTTGTCATTTCGCCACACCGAAATACTCTACCAAATTTCCGCAGTTCTATTCTTGAATAGAGACATGTATCACATGTATCACCTGTAGTCCCGTTGATCGTCGAGTGACTCGAGCGGACGTCAGTAAAACTTCCATTTTTCCCTGCCGCGTGCAAGAGTAGCCCATTGGGTTCTGTTCGCTCTAGGGACTCGTCGAGCATCAAATCTTTCTTTCACGCTTTTCGTGAAGAGAACTGACCATCAGGTTGGTGGTCTTCCTGCAGTGCGTTTAACATCCCGCGGAATCCAGTCACAAACGGCTAGTCGAAAATGTGGGCACGGAGTCGGGTGTTCTTTGTCCTCTTCACTACATCCTCGATGCTTTTGGAAGCTCCACAAGCCGCTCGTTTCCTTCTGCTCACTTCTAGGGCTAAGTCGTTCAGCGTGTTGATTTCCCGACCTAGATAGAAATAACTGGAGCATTCGGAGATATTCGTTCTATTGAGCGTGAATTAGGCATACGAAACCAATCCGTTTTTCATGAACATCGTTTTTGTGAGATTTAGTTCGGCGACCAATCTTTCCACAAGTTTTATCAAAGTCGTCAAACATACGTCCCCCTTGGCTAATGCTTGGTGTTATAAAGGCGATGTTATCAGCAAAGCGAAGATGGTTTAACTACCGACTGTCTATTTTAACTCCCGTATTATCCCATTCCAATGTTCGCATGACGTTCCGGAGGGTGGCGGTAAATAATTTTGGCGAGATGGTATCGCCTTACCTAACTCCTGTTTTGACGTCAATGTTAATATCGTTGTAGAACGGTGATGTCTTGGCTGTGAAATTTTTGTACAGCCCACGAAGAATCTTTATGTGCTGAGTAGGGGCTGCTTGGCTATCACGGGCTTCCATTATTGCTTCTATCTCAATTGAATCAAAGGCCTTCTGTAAATCGATGAAAGTGAGACAGAGCGGTCTTTTGTACTCTCGTCGTACTTCAATGAGTCTTACTATCATGTGGATGTGGCCAATCGTGCTAAATCATCTTCGAAACCCTGTCCCTCACATGACTGCCCTTCGTCCAGTGTTCTGTCAATCATGCTTAGGATGACTCGAGTGAAAAGTTTGTAGACGACAGACAGCAAGCAGATTGAGCGATAGTTGCCGATATAGTGTAGGTCACCCATCTTGAACATTAGCACGGTCTTGCTGGTCTTCCACTGAGTAGGGCCTTCCATTCAGACAAGTAACATGTGGACAGCCAAGTCAGTGTGTTTACGACGACTGGTGGAAGGTTCATCAGGTGTTCTGATCTTATCCTCTACGGGCTTGGTGCTTTTGCTGTTCGGCTTTTCACCGACGAAATGATATGTCTGATTTCGGAAGGAAGAACCGGTGGTACAACATATCCATCCTCCTTTATTTCATATGACGGATGGTGGACGTGGCTATCGAAGAAATCCGAGTAGTATTCGTGAATGAATATCTCCATTGTCTTTCTGGACGCTGTAACTGTTCCGTCTGGGCGCCGCAGAGCAATCATCTTTATCTTGTAATCGGCGAAACTTCGGTGGGCTTTGCGAATGCTTTTCCCAACCTCTGCAGCTTCGGCCGTTAATGCTGCGCTTCTCTCTCTATGATCTTTTTTATCGCCTCTCTTCATTGCTTTGCAAGTTCGGACGTTGGTTCGCGGTTGCTTGCGGCTCGTGCGATTCCACGCCGGCATATCAGCTCGAGTGTTTCAGGAGACAGACATCTCTTGGTGACTTTCGAACTCTGAGCTTTCATAGCGCTAGCGTGAAGTTGTTGAATGAGCCGATCGTATTCTTCGTCGATGTTATCGACAACGGCATCTCCGCAACAGCCGGCTAATGAATTGAATAAGTCCCAGTTTATGGCGGTTCTGGGACTTCGGTCTTTGAATTTAGCGAGTTTTTCTCCTTTCCTCGAGATTGCACGAAGGACACGACGGTCTAAAACCGTGTAGAATTTTGGGACAACACCGACATCGGTTAGGCAAAACCTATTTACTATGATGTGGTCTATTTCGTTATAGTACTCTCCATTGGGAGACTCCCACGTCCAGCGTTGAGGGTGGGGCTTCTGGAATTGCGAGTTACCTTCTTTTGTCTTGGTCGTCATGATAAACTCATATTGCCGCTCACGCTGTTAGTTTCATTCTAATCCGCGGTTCCCAATTTTACTTTCTCCAGACGTTTTCCTTGGTCCAATCGTGGCGTTGAAATCTCCAATGATGACCTTGAAGAATATGTGGTCTTCTCTGTAGAACTTCTCGAAGTCCATATTGGAACACTTCGACTTCTTCTTCGTAATAGTTTGATGCCGGCTCGTAAACGACGAAGATTGTCAAAGCCGGAATTGATCTACGTCTTTTTAATCGTAAACGTCCGATTTAGGTTGTAAGTTGTTCGAATGAATCGATGTTGATGGACAAACTCGTGTTGACGACAACGCCGACGCAGCCGAGTCCTCTACTGTCGCATGTTCCGAGGAACAGTTCTTATCCGGTGTCATAGCTGGCGTTGATTGGGTGGCGTCGTCTCGTCTCGGCCAGGCCGATGACGTCTTAGCTTATCCTTCTTGCTTGCATGAGCAAGTCTTCTATCGAGGGCCCGGATGCAAGTGTACGTGCACTGTAAGTACAGATCGTCATCATGGTTCCTTGCGATCCGGGAAGCTTACATTGGCCCTGAGATTTTAGCAGCCTCTCGCCTACCAATGCTACCGAATTAGGGGCTCTTTCGAGGTTTGGGGAATGAGGCCGGCTTTTTTTACTGTTCTTGTACTGCGCAGCAGAATCGGGGAGTCCATCCCCTCGATCTACCTGCATCATAGGAAAGAAAAGGAAGGCTTTTGTTCCGCGATTAACCCCCTATCCGCCACCCCTCATAGGAGGGTGTTCCGTAGGGCGGCAGCTATATTTTTGCGCGACAGCAGTGGTCTGAAGGCGAGAAATTAATTTGTAGGAGAAAAGCTCTTGCAAATTACTAAGTTTGGAGAATAGTTTACCATGCGCTACGGCTGGCGCAGTATCTACATTGAACAAGCTACAGACCGGCGATCAAAAAAGTTTAGTGTTTTTCAAAGCAAAGAAAAATCGAAACCCGAATGCAATGCACTTCGTGCACCTACCATTACGAAATGCCTGGCACGCAATGGAGCTCCACCGTTAACGAAGCAACGCATTATGATGCTTTCACGAACGCGTCCGCTGTCGCATTGCAGTCCGATCGGACCGCGTGTAATTGGAGCTTAAATGAAATACGCATTAAAGTTTATATGTACGGTCTGAAAAGTACCGCAACGCATGAAATCAATGCGTATGGTCGTGAAAGGGTTAATGCAGTGTCAGTGATGCATTTATATGATTAGGTTTGCATAAATTCGAAGTAGTAATATTTTTGCTGCTGTATAATTTGCAACCGTGAGTTTCAGGAATTTTCCTTATAGGATCGTGCTTGTGCAGTTGTCTTGAGTGAAGTCGACTCGTTTTATAGAGTCGTTAGCATGATGATGAAAACCAATGCTCATCGAGCTTTCATCGTAAATTGCGATACCGCTATTCGGGTTTGCATACTTTCTTTTTTGTACTAAATCTTCTGTGAATGGACAACTAACAAAACCTAGGATTCATGATTTACCCCAGTAAATTCCTTAAAAATTTGAGAAATATCATTGTTCATATGATTTCAACGAGTACGTTCAATTTGTTGCACTTTGTCTTCACACATAATTTGGTGCATCTATATTAGGAGCACGATGCTTTTTTGTAATACGAAATGAAGCAGGTTTGAAGAAGAAGAGCCCAACCAGGCCATTGCTTAGGATTCATTGTCGGTCTTAGTATAAGATCGGTTTGATAATTAGTTTGTGAGATGCTATTACTTTTAATACCACATATGAACAGTCCTTTAATTATTTTACTAGTACAATGATGCTGGGATATTCGCAAACCTTCAAACCGCTGATGTCTGCGGTGGTGAACGAAAAATTATAATAAGCTGTGTATAGAAGGAGTTATTATTTTAAAGCCTTGCTTAAGGGAGTAGTCTCGATCTCCGATGTGGTGAAAGCTGTGGTTCTTGATCCGGGAAGTCAGTTAAGTTCCTACCGTATTTCGAACACACGTCTTGAGGAATATGCCTTTGAAACATCGGCCATGGTTAGGTATAAGCATTACATTTCAAAAATCTGATGTTGTGTTGAACTGAAATTCAGGAGCCTCAGCCAGAGGGATTGGATAATGGGGACACGGAGACTTCTTGAACGAGTCGCAGTGTATTTCAGACGCTTTCTTAAGACTTTGTCAATCACCATATTTTTGCGGCTTTGAAGTTCTTCGTATTATTTTATATGATGTTTCTATAGGTTTCAAAACTGGCACTTGAGACCTCTGTCTTGGAATGTGATCAGTTTTTTTTTTTATCATTTACTGTTATCTAATGTCTAGTATTGTTTCAATACAGTTAACTTTTCTGTCGGCTTACCACTATTGTCAACTTATTGTTGTTTGCTTTTGTTCGTGATATCTCCTCAAATCTGTCGTTAACTCGCTATTATATATAGGGGCTCGCTATAATGATTAGGCTCGAAAGCAAGCAATATATGGGTTTCAAAGTTTTAGCGCTATGTTACTGGTATGCTCGTTCTTGTCGAAGCGAATAAAGATTTTACATAAACAGACGCAAAGCTACGAAATTTGTTAGTTGGCATCAAGTCTCAAGATTATAACGTAGTATTTTACAGAGTTATAAATCATTAAGAAAGGATTGCTTTGAAGGAATTCTGTATTTTCTTTGTGACAACGAGTCATCTGATCGGTTTTTCAAAATTCAAAATGTGAGAATTTAAAGAATTCTTGAGAGGCTGCCTTGAAAGAATTCCACATATGATTTGTCATCACCATTTTTGTAATCGCCTTGCGATAGCATTAAATGTGATCGACCATGAACTGATAATGCTACGCATAAGAGTCGTAAGCTCGTGCTGATAACGTTTTCCTCGAGATGAAGTTCACCCTTTATTTCGGTAGGTGTAATTTTTTTTGTTTCTTTTAGGACTTTCATTTTGTAGTTTCATTGCTAATTTATGAAATGTTCTCGTCAGTAGAAAGAACCTCCCAACGGTTTAGCTCCTCAACGTGGCTGGGAGGTGTTCCTGGGTGTCGGACTACGATGTAAAGCGGGGTGATTCGCCCCCCGACAGGGTCTCCCAAGCTGAGGAGTCCGGCGCCTCCATCAGGAAGCCTAGCTAAGAGTAAACCAATACCAGGATCTACTACTGTCTTGGTATTGAAATTGCATGGTGGTAAATCCCACTCTGATCCACAAGGACTGCGACTGTCGTGGTGAAGACCTGGGGTAGACTTTGGCCAGGCTGTCCTCGGGATTACAGGGAACCACAATGGCCTAACCAGGAAATCTTTGGAAAATGGTGATTTTGCTGGTGCTCGCACAACCAGTGATGACGGGCCGTTCAAGTATCAAGTAAGTAAGCATTAGAAAGAAAGTAGGTACAACGTAGCGTTTGATTTGATAACGACGATGAAAGACAAGTTGTTGGTTCCCAGTTTCCTTCTCTTTTGCAAATATGTATAGGTGTTGCAAATCCCAGAACTTGGATTTCTTCTATGTTCTATGACCTTTCATATATTACACTGTATGTGATGTACCATGCGTAGATGAAAATGCTGGTTGGGTGTTAAGGCCTTTTATCCATCAGCAGAACTAGAGAGTGCAGTAGATGAACGTTAAAGGCAAGTGGATGGAGATTCACTGAAACTAGACATGTGTCACTATTAGGTGTCTATAGACTAATATAGTGTGGCGACGAACTGAAGCAAACAATGTTTATTTTGAGCTACATTGTGCAGTGCTGTATTCTCTATGCCATATGATGCTCGACTTAATGATGTAGGTGGTTGCGGTAAGGTGGCTGTTAAGGAATTCAAGTTCATTCGGACAGAAAACGGTTAGTTGAACAAAATTGTCATTATTCTATTCTAATATATTCCAGTAGACTTTGTGGGACAATTAAGCATGCAAAGGATCACTAATCATCAAGTGGTATGAAATATAACAGAAAATCTGGTTAGGAACGTTAATGATCAGTACCGAATCACTTTTCAGTGGTTGTTCTATACGTTATTAAAAACTTTTTCATCCTTTTGAAATTGACGCTTCACCTTTATATCTCCCATGTTTTTACTGCTCTCTACCTTCTCCTACCTTTGTTGCAGCTAAAATGAATATTGCATGCGAATTATGCCTCGATATAGTTCTCCTGGTTGAGACATATCTGGAGTGTGGAGAGGTATGTTCTAAATATAATACTTTATTATTAGATATACTTTTTACACGTAGCTGGGGTATTTCAAGTTTGATTGTTATAAATTTTTCGGATGGGTGAAATTTTTATTGCTTCTGTAGTAATCAGAGCGTTGTACCTTTTTCAATTTTGATTATTTAGGCTAAACTCGAGAATATTCTGGAACAGAAATGTGACAACGATTTCAGTTCGAAATCTTTAGAAAAACTTTGCCGTAGCATGATCCAAAAAATTGCACATGTAAGTCTTACAACTTATTGCACGACTCGATTTTTTCTGTCCCACTAAAATTCATACTTTATCTTGGCTTTTGTACTAAAAACCTTACACCGCGTATAAGCATGGCTGCTTCTGGTAGCCGATAGCCTCCTGCGCGTCTCACGGCCTGACGAGGCAGTAGTGACATTTGGAAGGGCAGTGGAGAAGGCAATTTTTGCTCCAACTTTATCGGAAGCTACATGAACCTATTTTCACCGGCATTAGAGTTACTAGGTTTGAAGACTCAGCGATTCTCCATACGGAAACCCTATACACTGTCTAGTCGGCAAGCAATAGTAAAATATTCACCCGACCAAATTCGTATCCGAGCGCTGAAAACATACCGCCATTGCACGTGAATATGTAGTAAAAAATTTCACTCAGTGCTTATCTTAATGAAAGTATTCTGGACGCAGAATCATAGGGATCAAAATGATCTGCAAGAATAGGAATCTATGCGGCATCGACATAAATAGCATCCCCAAGACCAACATTCTATTAACTTCGGCGTTAATTGATAATTCAGCGTTCTTCTTCAATGAGCAAACACGAAGTTGATATTGTAGGATTTATTAGCATACAACAGCCGGCGTTTTGACGGTTTTGCCCTCTTCAGACCTGGAAAGACCAAATTGATATGCAATCTATTCAGCTAAAAACTTTCATATCCTTAGCAGATAAAACGTGACACATAAATTTGCATTCACATAATAAAGAGCTTCTTTTAAACTCGAACCCTTTTATTTGTTATGCGTATTTATATAAATAGTATTATTTATGTTTGCTCATTGAAGAAAAACAGTGAATTAAGTAAATATCGTCCAATCAGTTGGTGTTTCACAAGCTCATTATCGCTGCCACATTCAAGACAGGTCGCGTGTGGCGCAGTGGTTGGAGGCACCACTGCGATACACACGTGGAATCGATTCCCGCGTCCATGGCCCACCAAGCCCTCCATCTCTCCGCGGTCGGCAAATTGGTACCAGACTTGTCTGGGAGGATAGCAGCGCTGGTTCGATACATCAGTAGGCCACCGCGAATCATTGTAAAGGCCAGATATGCATTCAATCACCTCCAACGATACTTAATGAAGTCGAATGCATGGCGCATCCCTTAGGGATTGATCAACGCCAAGAACTTCATCCTTCTATCCTTTATTCAAGATTTGAACAGCTCAGAAGTACACTCCTACGTACAAGAATAGTTTCGTATCGTTGATGATATCGTCCTCACAAAACGAAGCATTAACTAAAAGGATAGAATGCTGGCCGCTTTCGATAGCACATGCAAAAGTCTACGGCTTAAATTGAAAAGTATGTCAAGCACAAGAACACACCGTCAAACGACAATACGACTGTCAGGGCTCTAAATGAGAATATCCAACTAAAATGTGCCTGAAATTCTAGCATATAAAAAGGATAAACCTCTTGGCGTTGTTCAATCCCTGAGGGATGCGCCATGCATTCGACATCATTAAGCATCGTTTGGAGGTGACTGAATGCATATCTGGCTTTTGCAATGACTCGCGGTGGCCTACCGTTGTATCAAACCAGTGCTGTTGTCCTCCCAGACAAGTCTGGTACCAATTTGCCGATCCCGGTGGGATGGAGGGCTTGGTGGGCCATGGGCGCTGTGGTTGATTCCACGTGGGTGTTGCAAGGCGCCTCCGACCACTACGCCATATGCACCCTTTTGTAGCAGAACCAGAAAGGAATGGACAATTTTCTGAAATTCACTGAAGTTATTTGGTGATTGATAGAAACTGGCAACATGTAAGAACTCAAGGTATCGAGTACACTAGAACAAAGTGTAGCCTCTAACGATAGCCGCAGATCACTAAATCGATGGCTAGTGTGAACGAAATATGCAAACCATATTGATGAGTTGGAAGCCAATAAGAAATAAAATGATTTGATCAAAGGATAAAACTGATGACCGATATGAACCTGAATTGGTTTCACCATTCTGACACTTAGGCTCACTAAATTTTTACTAGTAAGGCTCAACAAGCAATCACGCAACCGTTAGCATTCCATTCTCTCTGCCTCGTGCGTTAACATCGCACAATTCATTAATGTAAAATGAACGTGAGGTAACTATTACACAAACGATAAAGGTAATATGGCACGAAATACTAGATGAAGGTGTTGGAGTAACGTCAAACTGATGGTATGATTTTTGAGCTTTTTCGCAACGTCTAATAAATAAACCTTTAATCCCTGCTCCAAAATTTACAGAAAACTACTTTCTAGTAAATGAGGAACTATAGCATGCGTTTTTGAAAAACCTAGGAACAAATTTTTCGCACAGGCAATGAAGCACTGTGGGAGGAATACCACATAATAAGATGAACATCAACTCTACCATTTGACTTACTTCTCGATAACACCACAAGTATCTATTTTCTTTGCATTCCAAATTGACTTCATTAACTGCAGAAGACCATCGAGAGCACAGAGAAGGATCCTACCAAAATCTGCCACATGATCCTCCATGAAGAATGCACTTACAGTTTTATTTGATTTTCTGTTGAAATTATGCTGTAACTCTGCAATAAACATTTTTCCAAGCCAGAATTCATTTTTGTTGCTGTCCATATATACGACACGAAAGGAAGATGCAAAAATAAAGAAGGTGAAAAAAAAACTGAGCAAGATCATGATGAGATGAAAAATGGAATAAACAACACTGCGCTTTAATAGTGTACCAAGAATATTTATATTCTGATGAATTATACAGCCCTTGACTAGGCATCAATGAATGGACCTAACATAGAGTTGTTTGTTCTTTCAGGAACAAGACATTTTAGCTTAGTCTGTAAAGAAAAAAATTTTACTTACATGTAATGACATAACTCAAAAGGCCTATCAGCTTCACTAACTCATCACATATCACTGACGATTAAGACTCGGCGTGCTAAGCACATCATCTAAGGGTGAGATCACGACTTGAGAAGGTTTGTTCTGAAAAAAAATGTAGAAAATGAAAAATGGGTAGGAATCCGAATGGCAGGAAGAGCATAAAAAATGCAACGACTTTTATGAGATAGCGAAATAGGCCGATAAATCTGTTCGCTCACCCTCTTACTTCTAGTCATGGATGAAATAGTACCGCTTGTTTTCGGACAGTGTGGAGTAACTGACCAAAAATGACCTGTAAATAAATAAAGTGCCACTATTTACTGCAATAATCAGAGTTTATATAAAGAAAAATGGTGCGCGTAGCGCAGGGGCAGAGAAGTAATACACAAGGTGTCGATCCCCGCGCACCATGCTTACCAAACCTTCTACTCCTCGGGGTAGGCAAATTTGTACCAAACTAGTGTGGAAGGATAGCAGCACAAGGTCGATGCATCGATACGCCACTAGGAGTCACCGTAATAGCAAGATGTGCATTCAATCACTTCCAACGATGCTTAATGAAGTTGAATGAATGGTGCGTCCCTCAGAGATTGATCAACGTCGAAAACTTTGTCCTTCAACCGTTATACATAAATATAAAAAAATAAAGGATATAGCTCTAAGCGTTGATCAAACCTTGAGGGATGTGCTATCCTCTTAGACAAGTCTAGTATCAATTTACCGACCTTGGAGGGGTGGTAGTCTTGGTGGGCCATGCGCGCGGAGATCGATTCCACGTGTCTGGTGCAGAGCGCCCTCAACCACTGCCCCACACGCGCCGTTCTACATAAGTATATGCATATATGATATTTTGGCAACAATTACGGTAAGAACGGAAAGAACGTTGATCAATTTCTAAGAGATGAAACCATATATTAGGTTCAATCAGTGGTATAGTAGAGGCCAATGAATGCAAATGTTTGATTATGCATATGCAATAACTGCATATTATATGCAATAACTCGCGGTGGCCTAGCGATGCACCAAATAAATGTTTCTATTTTGTCAGAAAAGTCTGGTTTCAATTTTCCAATTTCAGAGAATAGAAGACTTAACAAAGACTGGGACTGGAGATCGAACCAGTGACTCTATTTGTACTGGAAGGCATCTCTTACAACTGCGCTACGGAAAGCACTGTGAGCCACGTAATTTTGCCAACTTTTCAAATTGATCCTCAATATTGCGAAATGTGGTATTCAAAATAAAACATGGTTTGCATATAAGCCTGATAAAAACTGATAATCATCGATGAGGTAGAGCACCCAGTTGATTACGTTGTGGTGGAGCTAGGTTTATTAGAAGTTTTCATGTAGAAAATACATGGAAAGTGCGAAGTTTTAAATAAGTTGGAATTAGTTAAATATTCCAACGCAAAATACATAAAGTAAGTGGTTGGACGGGAATGTGAAATCAGAATTTGCTTACCACTCTCGAAAAATTGAATCCTTCCCATTCCTTTTGGTGGGTTCATAGGTACATAATCCGATGAAAGTACTGGTTCTACAGATACCGGTATCTCTGAGTCCAGTGTTAGTAGCATTCGCGGTTTCGGTACGAGATGAAGTGATGTGTTTACTAGAACAGAAATTGTTTATTTGTAATAAATAGTTATGACGTTGTTGGATCAGAAGCCCCAACTTTCAGAAAAATCTTACCAACATTTGCCATCGGCAGAGTAACCGATGGTGGAGAAATCATTGTGGTGGTCAAGCATTTCTTGACACCAATATGTGATGGAGGTAATTCAATAGGCGATAAATCAGCGTGGCATGACATAGATTTGTGAGGCAATAGAGATGAGCTGCAACATTTATTTTACGTATGCTGCAAAGTTCTTTCATCTGCTTTCAACTGAGTTACATCATTCTCGAACATCCTCTGGCTGTTTCCTCCCAGCTTTGGATTTCTATGACCATGAAAACTGATAGCCTGTGGCATCGTGTACGGAAATTGTTGGAGAAAAGAACAAAAGAACGCTTCTGACGTTGATCAATTCCCTACGATCCATGCATTTGACTCCACTTGAATAGCCGTCGAGGTGGGTGAATACCTATTTGGCCTATGCCTTACAGCTAGCTAGCGATTTATTATATTAGTATTTTCGTCCTCCCAGACATGTTTAGGGCAAAGTTATCGACTGCCGGCAGACAAGAGCCTTGTCTAATCTGCAGAGCGGAATGGAACAAAGAGGCACGTGTGTACTAAGTGTTATATGCTCTAACCATTAGGTTATACGCTTCCTTGGAAGAGAATGAGGAAAACAAATTTTTCGATATATTGAAACCTGTGCCAAAAGCAGCACAATAAGCACCGTAACATTTTAAAAACGTTCAAGCAGTACAAAATATGAGGCTAATAATGAAAGTGACACTGAAGGTTCGGAGAAACTAGTCAATTTAAGTTTAATCATCATAATCAGTTCATGACTAACTTGGAACTTTAGGTAAGGGGTAATTAAAACGGTTAAACAAACTAAAAAGCTTGGAAGGAAAATTATATATAAGCATTAACCTACTTTTTTGCAAAACTCCTTCGGTTTGAACCAGTTCTCCGTGACAATATCTGTCTAAAAGCACTTTATTCACTGTTAGAAATGTAAAATTACACCTACTCGTGGACTCTTAGGCATCCAAGTACTAGTCAGCAAAGCAAGAAAACTAGCTGAGAGAAACACAAGGCGAGGGCCTCTGTGCTGCAATGCGTAATACGCGAATCCCCGTAAAGGTAACTATGGTTCGATCTAGCCCGCGGTCCTAGACAAGATTTGCCAATAACTTAGCATCGATGTGATTGTATTTCACATCATAACCTGCCGTGAAAAATCACATTAGGAAACAAATGAAAGGTTAATAAAGCAATTTGATTTTAACAACACTCACTTGGCAACAATTAGTATCCCGCAGATTGTAAGAGCTGTTCCAAACGTAACCATCGTGTACAAATACTGCTTTGCCACAATGAAACGACAATTTCGTGGCTCACATAACGCATTAATACAGTATCTGAAGGCATAATACCTTAATTTCAAATCGCCACATCTTTAAAAAAGCCATGAGTGGCAGGAATCGTAGTAGTTTTATGAGGACTTAAAAAGGAGAAAAAATGAAAACGATGTCTTATAAATATCAGTGATTAGTTATGTTTGGTTACAGAGAATGATTTTAATGACTCTGTCAGTGGGTTATTCAATATCTTACAAACGGCAGAACTGACTGGCATAATGGTTGTCGAATTAGTAGATTCGAGAGTCGTAATACTGTTCTACATCAGTACTTCTCTTTGAGTATCAAAAAGGAATGCTACCGTAGTGGGCCACAGTCACAATCTTCGTCGTTTTCAACGACGCCATTTCCACAAAGTGCTAGGACAGTGGGTGGTAGCTGCAATGGTTCCATGAGGCATTCAATTGACGGTAGTAGATCTACCAAAGCTTGTGCACTGCATTCATTATCGAAGCCACTAGAACAAAAGTACTGACGATCTCATTATAAAACACAAACATGGTTATTAACCATAGCAAATATTTCTCGCTAATATTGTTGATATTATAACAACATTGTAATTTATACTATAGCTTCAGCATAACTGGATTCAATCTCGATTCGGGCTCTCAGACCCATTCCGTTGATGGGTGATGGCTGATAGCTCCTATTGGTCAAAGATATGGCTGAGAGAAAAGCCAAACGTTTGATATGCATGGTGTGGCGGTGAACGCGTTAGCGCCCCGAAAGAGAAATACTATGTTCGACCTCCACTGCAAACACCTGAGATCTGTAGTTTTGCAAAAACCTCACAATTATTGTGGTTATAATCACAATTTTAACTTATTATTTACTGCATAGTCTTTTTAATGTGTTACGAAGTATAACTTCAGTGATACTGAGATATTTGCAAAACCGGACAGCAGGTGTATGCGGTGGGGAACGAACGCGCTATTGTCCTTTCCGGGAGTAACGCGTTCACCACCACACCATGTGGGTTCTTCGTTTCGCCTATCTCTCTACTAGTTCTATCGATCTTTGCCACAGCAATCACCCGTCAGCGAGATTGATCTGAGGGGCCCAAATCGGCATTGAACCCAGTTAAGCTGAGGCTGTATTTATAATCATAACCTTAACTTATTATTTACTGTCTACTCCTTTTAATGACAGGGTATATTGTGGTTATAATTCACATGACACCCTGCCATGAAAAAGAATAGAAGGTAAATAAAAAGAGATTACTGTTGATATTATTTCGTCTAATTCAGGCAGGTGCAGCATGGTGATGCATAAGGGTATGCAGAGAAGTATCGAAATAAGGCAATAGTGGAAGTGAAACACTTAGCTGATTGTCAGAGTTACGCTTAAAATATTCTTTCAACATATTTGCTGATTTTCATTAATCATAGACTTGGTTGGCCGATTTTCTTATAAAGAAAAATATATGTTTCCTGGAGTGCAGGAGTTAGAGGTGCCTATCCATGTACACGTGGTCGTTGGCTCAATCCAACGGCCCGTGCTTAGCAAGCCTTTCATTCAACCATATTTCACAAATTGGTAGCAAACGTGTGTAGGAGGATAGCAGCACTGATTTGATGCGTCGTTAGGCCACCGCAATTCGTTACTTGGGATAAACATGCATTCACAATCACCTCTACAGTGCTGGAAAAGGAGTTGAATGTATGGCGCATTTCTAAAGAGTGAATAAACGCCAGGCTCTATCCTTTATCTTTTCAAAAGAGTATATGCTTCAGTTCTATCTACTTACAATGGGTGAAAAAATTTTGATGTATTCTGTAAATCGAAAAACGTTCCGTTGCGAGCAATACAACATGACTGGAAAAATAAGAACAGATAAGTTCAGAAAAGGTGAGAAAGGCATACTCAATTCGAAGGCAGGTGCCGTACTTCTTTTTTGGGCAGTGACAGTTCGCAATTGCAGTATGTGAAAGGCCGAGTAAATGCGAGAGCTCGTGGAAAAACACCGACGCATATTCATATGGAGCTTCAGGGAAAAACTGAACATGGGAATAAGGAAGTGAAAATTAATGACCGGCACAAACTAAATAGATTGTGCAGGTTTTTTTTGAAAATAAATTGTTTTTAGAACAAAAAGTTTGTATGTGGTACCAAAATTATATAGGAATCAAAAGGATAAAATAAAAAAAGCTTATACCCCAGTAATACCAACGGCTGTTCTTTTACACACTCCGTTCACATAGGCGACACCGCCTTCGTAACGGTGTCGAACAAGAATGGCCAAATCATGAGTTGGCTGGAAAGGAATAGGCATTAAGAATGCAAAGCCGGACACGGTTTTCTCCCATGACCGTGTTCATTGACGTATCTTGTTCTCAATCATAATTTCACTTTCCCTTCTGGATAACATCAGTGCTTCGTACAATCATTTTTTGTTGATTTGCAAAAAAATGGTCGTATGCACTGACTTCAATACATGTCTATCCCACTTTTATTGTGCCACACAGAGCGCGTATGGCGCAGTGGTCGAACGCGCCCAGTGACACACACACACACACACACACACACACACACACACACACACACACACACACACACACACACACACACACACACACACACAAGGGATCGATCCCCGCATCCGTGGTTCGCCGAGCCCCTTATTCCTCCCAGGTAGACAAATTGGTATCAGACACCTCTGGGAGGATAGGAGCACTGGCTCGATACAACGGTAGGCCACCGTGAGTCATTGCAAAGACCAAACATGCATTCAATCATCTCCAACAATACTTAATGAAGTCGAATGCGTGGCGGCTCCCGTAGGGGTTGATGAACGCCGGGAACTTTATTCGTTTGAAGCCGCTACCACGCAGAATTATACGTCGTCTATATGTTTAGGTGCACTTTTTCTTGTCTAATTTTTCGATGTTATCTTTACAAAAGTAGCCGTACCAGTTGCTCTGTTGTATGTCGCCACTCCATAAATTGTTCGAGTGTGACATTATGACCGTGTATTAGAACGACATCGACCACGGTTATACGAATATCGAGTTGGAAGGCGTACTAAAACACTTCTTACAAAAAGAAAATTAGGTAATGATAAGCAAAGAAGAAAAAACCTTCAACATGAAGTGGAAATAACTTACCATATTAACTGCATACATCAACGTCAACATAGCAGCTCGTATTCTCTCAAGTTCATGGCCATAATACCGAGCCTTAAATAAACTCTAAAATTACTTATTTGGATGATTGTATAGTCCGTCTTCACTTGTGTAGACTCTAGCAAAATATCCACTTTTTTGGAGCCTTGCTGGTTTAAAAATTGTGGTTCCCTGGAGTCCCAAGGCCAGCCTGGCCAAAGTCTGCCCCAGGTCGCCACTACCACAGACAGTTGCCCCATCTGTTGATCAGAGGAAGATTTGCCACCGTGCGACTAGTTGGATACCAGGACGATGGTGGATCTTAATACTGGTATTGTTCTTAGCTGAGCTTCTTGATGGAAGCGATAGAGTCTTTCTCAGCTTGAGGGACTCTGCTGGGGGTTGAATCACCTCGCTGCATATCGCAGCCCGACTCCAGAAAAATCTCCACGATGAGGCGGTAAACTGTTGGGAGGAAGCGTACAATTACATCCAACTTTTTATTGATTTGATTCAATTATCCATCCAACCTTCAAATAAAAATCTATACTAATTTTTTTTAAAAATTGTTTTTTGGATTCCCAGGGAAGTGGAATTCATCCTATTTTGCTAGTTCTGAACAAATCTGAGCACAGATGGAAATCAGAGAATGCAAGAATGCAAGGAAGTTTGGCGAAAATTGTTGTGTTACAGTGCTGATATGCAACGCGATTTCTGTTCACTAATTTTGACTAGTTAGATCACTCAATTATCAAGTACCAAGTAATTCTGACTAGTTCTGGTTGATTGCTCGTGGTAGCCTCATTATATCTATGAGTATACCCTTCCAGGCTCTGAAGAAGGCGATACTGCCGAAACGTCAGCTAGCGTTGTATTGTATTGTGTTTTCTTTATG